TGCTAAAACATAATTAATTACCTCAAGACCTCGGCTCTCAATTATTTGTGACGCAGGAACGCTCGAAAGAGGCTGAACCTGTTCAAGTCATTGCCATTTTATGATTATCGTTGCCATGATTCCACTCCTGCCTCTTATGCAGCCCTTCAAGTGATTTTTAGAGATGGCGCATCCAACCGAGATTGTTTTTCCAAGGTGTAACCGATCGACAACACGGCGTCTCATCCTCCGCAACAAAACAAACCGTGATTTTGCTCTGAAGGTACTCAGTACCAGAATACAAATTTCTGATTTGCAGCACACTTGCTCTTCGATCGAATTGATCGCTTAGAGTAATAATCTAAAAGAAATTATTTGGTAAGATAATCGCTTAACTGTGAGAGTGAATATGAGTCTTGAAAAATTAAGCAAACTCATTCGCTAATAAAACTCAAACAATTATCAAATATCACACTGATGCCGTATGCTTTTAATTTAACATTCAATTCGAGTGTGCGCTATTTCGAGTGTGTGAGAAAATGATCGCTATGAGAGTGTGCGGAAGTATTTTCAGATTCGTGGAAATAGTCCATTCATCTGGGTTGATCCAGCACAAGGCTTTTTACGAGCAGCTTGCACTCAGCCAATAAATATTTCTTTTAATGCATCACAACGTAAACTCATTGGTAACGTAAGTTTTTCACTTACTATTATTAAAGATCATTAGAGCATACTCAAATGATCACGGCCATTACTTAGAATGATGAACCTTGAATGCAGCATTCTGGGAAATTGTGTAACCATTCCAAAGGCGTATTGTGACTGAATGGAAAATGTTTTTGACGAATGATTATGACTTAATTGATGCGAATGAACAAGCATTGCAGTCGCCACAGCTAGTGCAAGTGTTTTGCCGTCCTGTAAACAGCAGAAACGAAGCAGTATGTCGACGATGGTTCAGGGCACCTGTTGAAAATACGCCTGAAATGCAACGACAACTCGCGCAAACACTCGATGTGACATTCAGCGATGGCTTCGTGGCTAGCGATGTGAGCA